CTCTCCTCCTCCTCCCTCCTCCTCCTCCTCCTCCTCCTCCTGCTGCTGCTCCTCCTCCTCCTCCCTCCTCCCTCCTCAGCTCGGCACGCTCGACCTCCCTCTCCCCCGTCGTGAAGAGCTGCGGGGCGCGCTCCCCGCGGGACAAGCGGGGGGCGCAAAGTAGGCCTCTGGAGGCGGGGCCCGGCCCGGTCGCGGGGAGCCGCGCTTAGGGCCGCGGGCGTCCCACAGGCGCCGACCGCGTCATCCTGGTGGACCCGGCGTGGAACCCCTCCGCCGACGCCCAGGCGATCGACCGCGTGCACCGCATCGGGCAGCAGAAGGACGCCGAAGGGGGCATGGCGGTGACGGAACGGGGGGAGGGAGAGGCGGAGGAGGAGGAGGCGGGAGAGGAGGGGGAGAGAGGATGCAGGAAGGAGAGAGAGGGGAAGCAGCGGAGGAGGAGGAGGAGGAGGAGGAGGAGGAGGAGGAGGAGGAAGAGGAGGAAGGAGGAGGAGGCGGGAAGGGGAAGCGGTACGATGATGAACATACCACAAGGACGAGGAGGTGGCTGACGACGAGGACGAGGAGAAGGATGATGAGGACAGACGCGAGAGGGATGATGCTGATCTTTGCCGGGGCGCGAGGTCTACTTGTGTAAGCGGTCGGTGGGGCCACACTGATTTTGCGCGCCCCACGGTGAGTCCATTCACCCGGCCTCGCTTCTCCCGCCTCCGGTCCCTCCCGTCCTCATTCTCCCCCTTGGGTCTGGGAGCTTCCAGGATTCCAGGAGGCGCTTCCCCGTGGCGGCTGGCGTTCAGAGCGCGGTGGTGTCCGTCGGTCTTCGGAGACGGGTCTCCATGACAGCTGTTGGCGGGGATGCTCGCGCTGGGGAATCATCCCTGAGATCCTGGTGACTCAATGCTTTCGAGCCTGGCGTCTTCGATCCAGCTCGAAAAATGACGCAGAAAGATGGGGTCCTGGCATCCGGGCGCGGATTTTCCCGATGTTGCATTTTTTTCGCTACGTCGGATCTCAGGGATAGGTTGATGTAGGGAGCCGCAGGCGCAGGAAAGGCAGGAGGAGCAGAGGGAGAAGGTCAGGAAGGGAGGGGGGGAGGGGCAGAGGGAGGCGAAGCGAGGGAGGGCCCGCAGGCAGGCGGCGAGGGAGAGAGAAGGGATAGGGGGCAGGAGGGAGTGGAGGGAGGAACGCAGGGCGGAAGAGGGAGGGCGGAAGAGGGAGGGATGGTGGGAGGGAGGAGGAGAAGGAGGAGGATGAGGAGGAAGAGGAGGAGGAGGAGGAGGAGGAAGAGGAGGAGGAGGAGGAGGAGAGGGAAGGACGCAGAGCGGAGGAGGGCGACGGGGAAGAGGGCGAGAGATGGAGGGCGCCTGGAGGGCTGGAGCCTTGGCCCTGGGCCGCCACGCACTGCGCACGCAGCCCTTAGGCTTACGCCGTGCCCGTCCCTGCACAGGGGGGAATATTCAAACATAGCCCAAAAGTAGCCAGGGGACGATTTTTTGACTAGTTTTGAACATTTTTGCAATACGTATATATATAGATATAGCGGTTTTTAGTCTCTCGCCCAAAATCCCCCTGTAGGGGGACAGGCCCGACCAAACCCCAGGACGTGGTGATCTACCGCCTCATCGCCGCCGGCGCCATCGAGGACAAGATGTTCCGGCTGCAGGTGCGGGACCCCGCGGGGATGACCGCAGCTTCCCTCGTCGTCCTCCACCTTCTCCTCCGCCTCGTCTTCTTCCTCCCCCTTTCCCTCCTGGCTTTCCTCCTCCTTCGCCTCCTTCTCCATCTCCCTCCTCCGCCTCTTCCCTTATTGATCCTCGCTTCTCCTCTCTTCTCCCTCCTCCCTCCTCCTCCCTCCTCCCTCCTCCTCCCCCTGCTCCTCCTCCTCCTCCTCCTCCTCCTCCTTCTCCCACTGCTGCTCTTCCCCTCTCTCCCTCCCTCCCTCCCTCTACCCTCTCTCCTCCCTCGTCTTCCGTCCACAGGTGTTCAAACGCGGGGTGTCGAAGAGCTACCTCGAGCAAGAGCAGCAGCTCCGCTTTTTCTCGCACAAGGAGCTAAAACAGCTCTTCGAGCCGCCCAGCGAGGCCTCGTCCACGCAGTCCCTGATGGCGGAGCAGATCGGCACCGAGGCGCTTTGTCTTGTGTATCTGTAAGAAGATTTTGGGGGGATCGTTTTTGATTTGCATTCGACGCACGCTAATCTTCCGAGTGGTTTCGCAAGTGCACGTGAACATTGGTTGTTTCTGTATCGATGTGTATAGTAACATGAATTCGATGTGTATAGTAACATGAATATGTATATAGTTAGCTCTTCGTGTGTTTCAGCATCTCGGTGGATCTCACGATCTACTGACCGGGGCAGAAATCGGGACAACCAACGGGGCAACCATCGGGGCAACCGTTCCATGCCGCCTTTTTTTTCGCCGACAGGCGCAGGACCCCACCCCGGGCCCCCCAATAGACCAGATCTCGGCTGCTTTTGGCGGCTGGTCTCTGGCGACCTGGTCAGGATCCACCCGCAGTCTGCTCGCGCGACTGGTACAGTCGGGGCCCTGGAGAAGGAACCCTTTTCGTTGGGGAGGGGCTCCGCGCTCCTTAATTGTTTCGCAGCTTGCCCCGGATTTTCCTTGGGTTTTCAGAAGGAAATCGAAGTTCAACTTATGGAAAAAAGGGGCCTCGTTCCTTATTTAGGGTTCCTTAGGTCAACGCCCCGACTGTGTCACCAGATCGACCAAGCCATGGCCCAGACCCAGATCTCTCCCTCCCCCGCCCTCCGGCCAACGGTCGAAGCCCGGGAGCGAAAAACGCCCACCATCTATCCGTCCGTGTATGTACTCGTGCCACTACCAATCAGGCTGCCGATCTCACTAGACATCTATAGGAACATGCATGGGACAACCATCGGAAAACTACTCCTGGTATCCCTCCTCCTCCTCCTCCTCCTCCTCCTCCTCCTCTTTGTGCAGGCTCTTACTCTTCGAATTCAGGGGCGGGAGCAGGCTCGGAAGGACCCAGCCGCCGCAGAGTGCGGCTAATAACGCTACCAATACGTAGGACGAGAATGCGGTGACATTAACCCGGCCGGCCTTCGCTGGGGGAAAATAGTCGATTCATACATGTACCAGCCTTTCTATCTATCGATTGAACGATATGTCATGCGATCTCGCTATCAATGTGTCTATCGATCTCATTACTCGTGTGTCGGGACAACCATCGTGACAACCATCGGGACAATCATTGTGACAACTATCGGGACAACCATCGAGGCAACACATGGCTTCAGCTCGCGGGCGAAAGGAACCCATGTGATTGGTTGGTCCCGATGCCTTCAGTCGAGAGGAACTCCATGTAAACATGCATGGAGTCAGCTTGCGAACGAAAGAACCCATTCGGTTTGTGGGTCGCGAAGGCTACCAGCGAAAGGAGCCAATGTACAAACACATGGTTTTAGCTCGCGGGCGAAAGGAACCCATCTGTCTTGACGGTTGCTCAACTGACGGGCCCGAGGAACCCATGTGTTCGACGATTGTCCCGCTCAAGCGCTTTAGGAACCCATATGTTCTGAAGGTTGTCCCACTCACGGGCCTCAGGAACCCATCTGCTGTCAGGTTGTCACGACAGCCGGACAACCGGCCGGCGACTCATCTTCGTCTAATTTGGGCCTTCGTATGCGAGTAGTTTGCGCAGTTTCGCCTCGACCGCACGCACCTCACGCGCGAAACGAAACGGTTTCCCAGTTGGGGCAATTCACGTTTCCACTTGGTCTTACCCCCCGCGTGGACCCCACACATTTATTTCTTGCAATGTATGCGGTGCAATCTAGCTGGCGCAATACATGTTGTGCACTCTATGCAGCGCAAAGCAATGCACAGCAATGTACAGCAATGCACAGCAATGCGAACCGATGCAGCGCAATACAAAGCAGTGCAATGCAGTGCAAAGTAACTCAAAGCAATGCAAAGCAATGCAAAACAATGCAATGGGATGCAAAGCAATACGAAGCAATGCAGTGCGATGCAAAGCAATGCAAAGCAGTGCAATTTAGTGCAAAGCAGTGCAAAGCATTGCAAAGCAATAGAAAGCAACGGAAAACACGGCAGTGCAACGCAACGGAAAGCATTGGAATGCAATGTAAAGAACCTCGTGAATTGAACGCAATGTAAAGCAAGGCGGCGCAATGCAAACCAACACGAAGGTATGCAACGCGGCACACATCAGTTCTCACAAATGCAAAGCACGTCAAAGCAACACAAAGTAGTGCAAAGCATCGCAAAGCGATGCAAGGTGATGCAAAGCGGTGCAAATCGTTGCGAAGCAGCGCGGCGCAAGCGGCGGCGACGGACGGCGGCGAAGGGTTGCGACGGCGGCGACGGACGTCGGCAAAAGGCCGAGGAGGAGGAGGAGGAGGAGGCGGCAACAAGCCGGCCATGGGCGGCACCAGGGCCTAGTCACGACGGCAACGGACGGCTGCGACTGGCAGCGACGGGCGGCCGCAAGCCGGCCGTGGCGGCACCGGGGCCGAGCTGATTTCTAAGAGAAGTGGGGGTCCCTAATTGGAAGCACTCTTTGGGGGAGTTGATATATATATATATATATATATACACCTATATATATGTATGCACATGGATATGTGTATACATGCATATATATACACATATATGTATGTGCATCTGTATATGCATATATATATATATATATATGTGTGCATATATGTATGTATGTCTGTCTGCCTGTCCGTATATATGTATGTACGTATGTATTGGTGATGTATGTATGTATGCAAGCATGCATGCATGCGTGTATGTATGCATGCATGTATGCATGCATGCATGCACGCATGCATGTATGTATGTATGTAGGTGTATACATACCTATAGAGAGATACCTCGGAGTAGGCTGAGACAGGCCCGTATCGGTGCACCGGTTCGCATGGGGGCTTTGTGCCTCCTGAGGGGGGGCTCCGAGGGCTCCCGGACGGCTGCCGACGACCGCCAGACCGGCCCAAGACCGACCTGCGGGCTGCCGGCAACTCAGAGACGGGCCCACTGTGCCTCAAGATGCCTCCAGAAGCACCTGCGACGCTCCGACACAGCCTCGAAAAGACCCCTGAGAGGGTGCCGAGAGGCGAGCATCATTCATTTGCCTAAGGCTTCTCATTGATTCTCGCGGTCTGGCTTGTCCCCGCTCCAGACGGTCCAATACGGCTCCATAAGCCTCCAGGACCGCCCTCAAGGCGGCCCAAGAGGCACCCAAGAGGGCCCCTGTGCGGCCCAGGAGAGCTCCAAGACGGCCCAGGAGAAGCTCCACGAGGGTCTAGGACGCCTCCACGAAAGCCCCAATACAGACTCCACAGACCCCAGCATCTCCAGACGCAGGCACCTCCAGATCCATCGGTCCCACTATCTATTCGTCGACCTCGGTATCGTTCCGTCTGTCGATCCAGGTTCTCAGGACTACCATCGGGACAACCATTGCGACAACCGTCTCATCCAGCCATCCATTGATCCGTCGCACGATCTGCCAGTCTCATTATCCATCTGTCGATCTCACTAACACCCTATCTGTCAACACGTTGTATACGTATCAGGACAGTCATCGGGACAGCCATTGGGACAACCAGCGGGACAGCAATCGGGACAACCATCGGGACAGCTACCGGCACACTCATCGGGACTGCCATCGGCACAACCCGCGGGACAGCCATCGGCACTACCAGCGGGACGGCCACCGGCAAAAGCATCGGGACAGCCGCCGGCACAAGCATCCGGAGCAGCCATCGGCGCAACCATCGGTCGGGGGTGGACAGAACCCCCAAGAGTGACACGTCGATTAGTGAATTGTCCGTTTTCGGTTCTCGAGAGGGCGCCGTGGCCGTTATTCTCCAGGCTTGCGCCCGCCAGGTTTGGGCCTCAGGTCGTTTTCACTAAACCACGTTTTACTAAAGGGGGTTCTGTCCATCCCCGAATCGGGACAGCCATCGGGGCAGCCATCGGGGCCGCCATCGGGGCAGCCATCGGGGCGACGGCCCGGACATGGGCGGGGGACGGAGCGGCGCACGTCGGCCCGGCCCCGGGCCCGTCCAAGTGCAGGATCTCTCGCGCAGCCTCGCCGCGGCCGCGCGCACGTCTGTCACGAAACGGAGCGATCTTTCTCTGGGTTGGGGCGCTTCACGTTTCACTTTGGTCTCGCCCACCCCAGCCTTCGATTTTTGCCGCCGTTTTCGTTATCATCGTTCTCCTCCTTTTTTTCCCACTCGCTCTTCTCAGCTTTATTCACGTTTCAAGTGGGCCTCGCTTCCTATCCCATTATCCCACCTGGTCTCCGATTTCTGCTCCCGTCGTCGTTGTCATCGTTCTCCCTCCTTTTCTTTCCTTCTCGCTCTTCTCAGCCTTACAGTAGGGGTCTTGAAGAACGAACCCTTTTCGTTGGGCAGGGGCTCCGCGTTCCTTGAGTGTTTCACAGCTGGCCTCAGGTTTCCCTTATGGTTTCGATCGGAAATCGAAGTTCAGCTTATGGAAAAAGGGGCCTCGTTCCTTAGTTGGGGTTCCCTAGGTCAACGCCCCGACTGTATTCCTCACCCTCTCGGCCTGGTTCTTCCCTGCGAGCCCTCTCCTGTCTTCCTTCTCGTTCCCAGCCCTCCTGCGTTGGGCTCTCGTTCTGAAGAGGGCGCTGGCGTCGCGTCGTCTTCCTCCCGCCTTCCTTCTCCTCCCTCCCTCCTGCTCTCTCCCTCCTGCCTCTTTCCTAGCTCTCGTGCCTCCCACCTCCCTCCTCCCTCCCTCCCTCCCTCCTCCTCCCTCCCTCCTCCTCTCCCTCCTCCTCCTCCTTCGTCCCGCCTCCCTCCTCCTCTCTCCCTCCTGCCCCTTTCCTAGCTCTCGTGCCTCCTACCTGCCTGCCAGCCTGCCTTCTACCTCGCCGTCCTGTGCGACCTCGCCATCCCTGGGGGGCTGCGATTTGCGAATCTGTCTACACTTTCGAAGGCTGCTGGGTGGGGGGGGCGGGCAGCATAGTGGGCACCAGGCGCAGATTCCGATTAGATCTCTCCTGGGGGGCTGCGAGCTGCGAGATTGCCGACACTTCCGAGGGCTGTTGGGGGGTCCAGCGGGGTGACGTTTTTCGCGGATTCAAAGTT